CATATATACTCACAGTGCAGTTACTGTAATTAGTAAGTCCTCCAGGTCTTGTTTAATCTCTAGAAACATAGAAAGTATTTGATTTTTTTCCCCTTGAGCGGAGGAGGGAAGTGAGGAGAATAGGGTGGGGCCAAGTCACATAAAAGTTAAAATTTTGTTCCATGAGAATTTAGGAACCGCTACAGCTTTTTTAAAAAGTGGAAACAACCCAGCCGGTGTAGCTCAGTGGTTGAGCATCGATCTATGAACCAGGAGGTCACAGTTCAATTTTGGGTCAGGACACATGCCTGGGTTGTGGGCTCGATCCCCAGTGTGGGGCGTGCAGGAGGCAGCTGTTCAGTGATTCTTTCTCATCATTTGCTGTTTCTATCTTTCTCTCCCTCTCCTTTCCTCTCTGAAATCAATAAAAAATATATATTTTAAAAAAGTGTAAATATGGGTGGAGCAATGTTTGAAGAAAGTAATTAAAATTGTTTTTCAGATATATTTCTATTTGGCATTTAGATATACAGTAAACTACTCTCTCAATTACTCCCATACAGTAGGCCCCCTACCTATGGTTTCTCTTTCTGTAGTTTGTTACCCGTGGTCAACTGCGGTCCAAAAATAATTCCAGAAATAAACAATTCACAGCTTTTAATTGTATGCTGTTCTGAGCAGCGTGATGAAATCTCCGCCAGTCCCACTCTGTCCTGCCAGGGACGTGACTCTCCACGCTGTGCACACTCCCCTCCTGTTAGTCACTTAGAGTCTTGGTATCAGTTTGACTGTCATGGTGTCACAGTGCTTGTGTTCAAGGTAATTCTTATTTTACTTAATAATGGCCCCAAAGTATATGAGTTGTGATGCTGGCAATTCGGATATGCCAGAGAGAGTCCTAAAGTGCTTCCTTTAAGTGAAAAGGTGAGGAATACATTTTTTGAGAGAGAGAGGAGAGGCCACATTCACATAACTTTTATTATATTTTTATAATTGTTCTGTTTTTATTTGTTATTGTTAATATCTTACTGTGCCTGATTTATAAATTAAACTATCATACATATATATGTGCAGGAAAAACATTATGTACAGGGCTCCGTACTGTCCACAGTTTTAGGTGAGATATATCTACCCATATCCCCCATGGGTAGATGTCTCCCCATGGGTAAGAAGAGGACTATTTTCTCCTTATATTCCTACTGCGGTGTCTATAAATTGCCTGTATGGAGGAATTCACTGAGAGTTTAGAATGTTATGATACATCACTCATACATGACTTATTCATTCTGTTTCTTTTAATCCCCAATGCAAAACAAGAAGGTTGTATTCATTATTAAATACCAGAGACATACAGCTGTATAAAATACAAAACCTTTCTCTCCTAAAACTATTTACACTGAAATATGGTTGGATCTTATCTAGTAAAACATTGAGAAGCATAGTTCCATCTAGTACATTTTTCAGCTGCATTGATGTGACATTCATGTTTAGAAAACTTATCATTAGAAAACTTGAATGAAACTCCTTTTCAACATGGGTGAACGTCTCTTACTGGGATATTTGGAAGAGGCATTCAAGCCAAACAGTAGTTCTAGGTTCAACTAGTGCGTGCGAGAAGGCTCAGGCTCCCTCTGGTGGCAATAATGTCTTATTGTTTCTCATTGAAAAATATGGATAATGTGGAAGATGAGGTTGTCAGGGTGAAGTGATGGTCCCAGTTAAACACAGAAGCCTGGTGCCTTAGATGAAGATTTAGTGTGGAGGCTCCTGAGCACTCTTCCGTAGCTGGGGTGTTTGGCTCCGTGGCTTTCCCAATCGTTTTTAGTTCTGAGCAGGGGAGAGGAAAGGAGGGGAGGATAAAGACATCTCCTGCTCATATCTACGCTGGCCATTCAGGGATATGATGAGGAATTACTGAGATATTTATTAAGTGTTTTAAATTCTTTAAATAAAGGTGTTTTGTGAACTTAGTTTTCTTAGTAACATGTTTGCTACTCTAAGCTTCCTTTTGGAGCAGTGGTCAGTAGTAAGATCACAAAAATAAAAAGTCAAATGCTGCCATATTTATTATTTTTAGTGCACTATAGTACACAAAATATAGATTATTATACTTTATAATATTTTCAAGATAATATAATTCAGTATCTGGGGAATGTAGAAGAAGGCTATATAGGCAATGGTTTAAGTCTTTTGTAGAATTATGAAGCATTGTTATTATTTTAGGGTTTAGAAGAAGGAAAATGTTTCTGAATGATGTCTCATCCAACTAATTTCTCTGAAAAATGAATATTAATTTAAATTAGGCTATTGCTCTGAGGTGTGGATGAAGGATGCTTTAGAAGAAAATTTAACTAATGTGGGACTGCATGTGCATTTTTTATATATGCTATATCCTCAGGGTTCTATTTCCTCAGGAACTTACTATATTTTCAGAGTTCAAGTAAAACATCTGCATAATCAAGGGCCTTTTAATTAAGAAAAATGACTTAATATTTCCCAACTTTATAAATGCACAAAAAGCTGTTGAGCTGCTGATCATGAATTCATCCTAAATTGTTGATTAATGTGTGCAGATGTAAGCATAAAAATTATGCATTCCTCATTAGCATATGTTTACATTTGTTAAACCACAGGTGGTCTAGAAATTGGAGGAAATTACAGGGTTTTTTGTTCTGTTTTTTTACCTTTGGAACTTTTCCCTGCCTTGAAACTGCTGGGCATTTCAGAACTCAGTTTAGTTAAATATATGACTATTATTATGTTATAGAACCTAAACATAAAGACTAAATTCCTGAATCATTTATGACCAATTGTTTACGGCTAGGAAGACTGAATTCTCATTCAGGTTAAAATACTAGTAACATTTCTGCTCATTCTTTTTTTTTTTTTCCAATGGCTCTGACTTCTGACAATTTATTTATTTATTTATTTATTTATTTTTAATATATCTTTATTGATTTCAGAGAGGAAGGTAGAGGGAAAGAGAGATAGAAACATCAATGATGAGAGAGAAAAATCATTGATTGGCTGCCTCTTGCACGTCCCCCACTGGGGATCAAGCCTGTGACCCAGGCATGTGCCCTTGACCGGAATTGAACCTGGGACCCTTTAGTCCACTGGCTGACGCTCTATCCACTGAGCCAAACCAGCTAGGGTTCTGCTCATTCTTCGGAGATGGGAATGAAAGGCATTTCCCGTGGAATTGCAGCAATAGTAGTTTTTTTTTTTTTAAACATGAAAATACCTTACATTTTTTTTCTTTTCTGATAATTAAGGTAAGAAATTCTCTTGACTAAAAAACAAAATCAGAGAAGATGAATATAAATAAGAAAATAAAATTCCTGTAATTCCAACCCTCAGAAATACCCACTGTTAGTGCTTTTTAATATTTGCCCCTCCCTGCAGCATCCTTTATGGGTTAACACATTGTCTAGTGAATCGGGCCAGCCATATGTAGGAAAGGTGGGTTCCATACAGGAAATCCTGCCAAGGAAGCATTTCTTTAGATGTTTTTAAGCATATAATTTTATTCTTATAACAAAATCTATTAACAATATCATGTTGTAATGTCTGAGACCAGGGCTTCATCCCCTCCCCCCAATCTTCCATGTTTTGACTCCTTTTGAGTTGACTGAAAGGTCTTTACAGACAGATAATTATTATTTTTTCTACAAAGGTAAAAACGGCTTAGTCAATTGAATTGCTAGAAAATAGCTTATTGTATTCTGGGGGCTCAGAAAGCCCTACCAGAATGCCTTGTGGTGCCCTTATTAACTGAGAAAAATGAAAGCTATGATAATATTATATGTTGAAAGTGATATGGAGCTCTAAAATGCTGATACAGATTATGAATATAAAATTCCACAGGGCAGTGTGTATCAGTGGCTTTGCTTAACTCCAGGCCTTTTAATTATTAGGGTTTGGGTTTTTTCTTTGGGCCTATTATTAGATCTCAGTTCTCTTGAAAGGACTGATGAAAGCTTATCATTTTCTCACTAGGAAAGAGACATTCCGTGGCAACAGTTGCAGGGATAATAGATTTGTAGTATTCCTTGCCGTTATGGGAGTGTGAACACTGAATGCTGACTTTGAATTTTGCATTCTGGGAAGTTAAAGGTAGTGGTGTAACTACTTTCTGCTCAAGTCATTCTTGCAGAAGATTTGTGGGTCTTTCCATAGGGATGGGAAAGGCATGTGGAGGGAGACAGCATTTGTGGGCCCATGCTGGGCCCACAAACACATCATCCGATAGAACCTGAAAGATGAGTCAGCAGCACACAGTCTGCCAGTCTGGGCAGTCCCACCGTTTCCTTTCCTCTTGTGGTTGCTGTTTGTACTGGGTTATCACAGATCATCTTGGGATTCTTTCATATTGACAATCAGGAGTTCCCCTTTTGCATTTACTTAGAAATAGCTAGAGGGGCCCTGGCCAGTGTGGTTCAGTTGGTTGGAGTGTCATTCTGTGCACTGTGTCTCAGGTTGGATTCCCTGTCAGGGCATGTACCTGGGTGGCTGATTCACTTCCCAGTTGGGGCATATGTGGGAGGCAACCAATGGATGTTTTTTCTCTCACATTGATCTTTCCCTCCCTCCCTGCCAGCCTCCCAGTCTCCCTTTCTCCCTCTTTCTCTGGAATCAATCCTCGGTGAGGATTAAAAAAGGAAGAAAGAAAGAAGGAAATAGCTAGAGGGAACAGGAACAGAAACAGAAGCCTCAAATTCTTCATTGTAACATCACCACCAGAGGCTGTGTGCATTCGCCCTTGCAGTTCCAAGCTCTGTCATCAAATGAAGCCCTGGTTATGGCTGATTTCAGTGTGATTTTTCTTCAGTGGTGCTGGCAGATACATTATTCTGGTGTCTTTCATTAGCTCTCCCTGCCCAGTCTTTCCTTTTGGTCTCAGCTGGCAAATAAAACTTCCCAGTCTGAAAACGATGAATGTTGTAGCTCTCCTAAAGTTAGCTATGGGATTGTTAATGAAGCACGTTTGCAGAGATGAGCGGTGTTTTCTCAATTTATAGGAGAAGCCCTGATATCCAAGCAAAAGAAGAGTTATGGAAGCATATTCAGTGAGTACCGGTTTTTTCCCCTCCTTGTATTAAAGCCCATGTAGTTTTAAGGCAACGACAAGGAAGACTGCCGACACTAAGAGACAGCCTAGGGCTGAAGCCTGTCAGACAGTCTTCATTACCGTCATTATGTGGAACATGGAATTCACAGTGGTGGTGCCTTACTGCACTGGCAGCCCTGACATCTCTTCTCCTGAGGCCCCTTAGCCTGGCCTGTAACTGGGTCTCAGACAGACCAAATAAATACCAAGGAAAACAGATTGGGAAGAAAAAAAGACTCCTACTACAGGGGAGGGAGGCAGAATTTTGTAGGGAAATTAAGAGTGGCTGGAGAGCCAGGTACATTGGATATAGATACATTGGAAGATAGTAGAAGAGCTATAGAAAAGGTTTGCCTCCCATTTTTCCTTGAGTACATTGTAGTTTTTAAATCTTTGTTCGTGCCTTATATTTCCACTAGAGGCCTGGTGCACAAAATTTGTGCATGGACGGGGGGGGGGGGGGGGGCGGGTCCCGCATTCCCAACCTGCACCCTCTCCAATCTGGGAGCCCTCTCCAATCCGGGAGCCCTCTCCAATCCGGGAGCCCTGACGGCTTAGGCCCACTCCCCCTGGTTCTCTGCTCTCTGCGGGGCCTGGCCACTCATGCTGCCCGCTCTCAGTGGCCGCCCCCCCAGGAATGGGGGACTCCGGTGGGGCTGAGGGGACTGGGTGCCACCATCTTGTGGCTGAGTGACGGTTAGTTTGCATGTTACCCTTTTATTAGATAGGATTAGGTTTGCTAATACTGTGTTTTGGGACAGTTGTGAAAGGTTTTAGTATTTATACCAGCATCAGAACTTTAATTTTCTTGCTCTCTGCCATCTAGGAAGGAACTTGTGGATCCGTCTGGGTTATCAGAAGAACAATTAAAAGAGATTCCATACACTAAAGTAGAGTGAGTATGTCTTTGAAAGTCTTTTCACACAAGTTTCATTAATACTTCGAAGTGAGTAATCCATTCTTACTCTCCGTGCAGTGCTTAAATTTGTCTTTACATTTTAACTAAAATTAAGAAGAACCATAGGGAAAGAGGAAGAAAGGGTGTAATAAAGCTAATCATTCCCCTTCTGTACAATCACTATTACCCCCTGTTAACTGACTATTTGTGTGTGGTAGGTACAAAGGGACTTTTGATGGCCGATGTTAGTTTTAAAATATAAATTCATTTATTGAGGTATTCATTGATTGGTCACAAAGTTTCTTTTTATGCATTATTTAACACCAGGAGAACGATGTGGACCACAAGCCATGTCATTTAAGCCCAGTCCAGTCCCTATCACAGAACTAGCAGGTTGACTGTGCCTCATGAAAACACAGGGGTTCCCTAATTGGCCCTCAGTGTAGGATGCCGCAGCAGATGACCTATTTACTCAGTTCTCTGCCCTGCTATAATGGTTCAGAGAAAGTAGCCTACTTCACTGCTTCATTTCCCTTCTGTAACTCATGCATCCTTCCCACTCCAGTCAGATTGCAGGTTGGTACACACCCTCCCACCTCCATCCCTCAACCCCATCATCTTTGGGCCAAAAGTTTGAATTTTTAACAACAGACTAGTTAAGTAGCTAGACAATGACCAACTTTTTCTGGTAGGAATGCTATTTTGTCTGCATTGCAGATTTTTTTCTTCCACACTACTGGAGAGAATTCAACTGTAGGGGATAATTTCATTAGAATATAGTGGTTAAAAATAATATACACATACACACATACATACAAATACTATAAAGAGTTTTATTTTCATGTGTAGTTGAGGGAGCAGTTTCTATTGTTAACTTGTGACATTTAAGCCACTTAGGATTTTCAAACCCAGAAGGGTTGATTTTTTTTTAAGCTCTCACAGTCGTTATTAAGGAATTATCCTGTTCTGACTTGTGTGTTTGTTTCCACGTTTTTTGGATTGCTTGTTCAGGACTCAAGGCGACCCGATCCGAATCAGACATTCTCATTCGCCGCGAAGTTACCGCCAGTACCGCCGGTCCCAGTGTTCAGACGGAGAGCGATCCGTTCTGTCGGAAGTGAAGTAAGCAGGCAAGCCCGAGTACATCAGCACAACCCAAGAGAGCTGCTTTTGATGCTAGAAATGTTTTGTATCTGTGGCTGTCCACTATTTGAAATGTGGCTCATGTGGCTGAGAAGCTAAGCGTTGAATTATTATTAATTTTCATTAATGTACGTAGCTACGTGTGGCTGGCTAGTGCCTACCTCTCTTGGACAGTGCAGATCCAGACCATACTGAGGCTGATTCATGCCACTTAGAAAGAAAAAAATGCATAAGCTATTCTGTTGTGAATGATGCAGCCATATTTGAGAGAAGTTGGCATAAGAAGTGCTTTGTTTTTGATCTGATGGCATTTTGTCTTTTCTTTTACTACAGCAAATAGCATATTACAGTAGTTTATTTCTTTGTGTTATTTTTTTCTTGTGAAAAAAGTGACCATTATCTTGCTTAACACAATAGGTACTATATTTTAAATGACTACGTTAATAAAATCATTATACATCCATTTGTAAAAGTACTATAATCACAGAAATTCATGTATTTTATATTGCTGGGTAGGAGTGTTAACCAATAAACTCTAAATTAAGGCTCAAAACTTTGATAAACATTAATAAATTGGGAGATAGGCTAGCCCAGTGGAGAGAGGTAGAGGCCAGGTTTTGCTTATTTTTTGTTTTGTTTGCAAAATGTAGATAATGGCTGTCAATAGTACCATAGGTTTATTTAAAAAGTACAAATGGTTAATAAATGTTTCTTTAGAAACAAATCAAAAAGCCATTTATACAACATGTCAGAACAGCACATGGGAACGAGACATAATTATGTTTTATTCTTGGTCCTTCTATTTATTTGTTTTGATTTTGGGCAAATTAACCTGTCCAACTTAATTTAGAAACATTTATTCAACACCTCTCTACGGGAAGCACTCTGGTGGAATACAAAGATAATACAAAGATATAGAAAACATGTGTTCTATGCTGCAGCCTTTTTTCAACTCGAATTGTGATTGTCAGAATTTAATTCTAAAACTCCCTCTGCAGTTCAAAAACGGATCTTGTACCTCCACTTCCCGTGACCCGCTCTTCAGATGCGCAGGGTTCTGGTGGCTCCACAGTTCATCAGGTTGGTAACAATAAAGTTTTAAGGTATTTTACTGGTGGCAATTTTGAGAAGCACTTTTCCTGAAATTTCTTTTGGAAGGTGGGAAAATGAATCTTTAGCTTCACTTTGAGATTCTATGTTTTAAAAGAACATCTACAAACCATGGAAGGAGGAGGAAGGAGGGAGTGGATGATCAAGACAAGGCCCAACCTGGGAAGAGTTATGTTAGGAGCGAGAGCTAGAGGTAGTGCAAGGTCTAAAATGATCTGAGGCCTGGGGCAAAGCCAAGGCTAACAAGGATTGTTGAGAATGTTTGGAGCCAGAATAAAAAACAACAACACAATGGCTTCACCATATAACTTTTAGATATTTTTTGAGCCAGAGAAACAAGGAGAAAGTAGCAGACTTACAGGTGACAGGTGTTCGATTATTAACTAATGGCAGACAAGAGAATTATTCAGTCCTGTTTTATTTCTGTCTTCTCCATCAAAGAGAATTACTTTTGTTCTGGAAATGTTTTAAAAATGTGGTTAAAGGGGAATTCAAGGACATAGTACAGAATCTAACTGCATTAACAAAATTAATTTAACACTCAGCTGAATTACATAGATATATCAAGGGAGCTCTGTAGCAAACATTTCAGCAACGTGTTTGATACCACCTTTCATGGTCTATTTTTTAATAAGATAGAAAACAAATGCAGGCTGTGTAAGATCATTGTGTGGATTTATATCTGGTTAAACAACCACTCTAAAAACAAAGTTGATGTTTACAATGGATCAGTGACAGCCTATTGTTTGCAGTGTTGTTTTTCATTCTTTTGGATTGTGAATCTCTTTGAAAAGCCAATATAACTACTGTCTCTCTCTCCCATAAAAATGCATGTAAGCACATACACCGTTTTGTATATATTTCCTTGGAGTTCACGGACAGTCTAAGAACCCTGACTCAAGCTGTATTCATCATGCATTGCCCTTCGTTTGTTCAAATTCATTTTTGCCAATGTCTTGAACAAGAACAGAGGAAACCTGTGCTAATTTAGGTTAGGTTCCCTAGAAACAGATTCTGAGATGGAGATTTGCATGGAGGAAGCTAATTGGAAAGCGCTGTTAGGATCAACACTTGTTGAGAGGGGAAGAGGTTTTAAATGTAAGAAAACATTAATTTGTGATGTATGGGTTAAGTAATTAACGTAGTTGTATTTTCTTCTGAGTCTTACTATTTTTCTTCCAGAGGAGAAATGGGTCTAAAGATAGCCTGATTGAAGAAAAATCTCAGACATCTACAAGCAATCTGGCTGGAAAACATATAGCAAAAACAATAAAAACTATCCAAGCTTCACGCCTCAAGATAGAGACTTGATCCCAGTGAAAGGCTTGGGATGGGGGATTCAGAGGGGGTGGAAAGGGTGTGTGCTGCCTTTACTTTGAAACTGTGAATTGTAATTATTCAAGTATCTTGGACCTCCAAGTGTTTCTTCACAAGAAAATCGAGTCTGTTGCTCCTTTTAAAAGGTTTAACTACAGTGTATTTGTGCTGAAGAGCCTTTTTTTTTTTTTTTTGGTAGTAACTGGAAAGTCATCTTGTAAAAACTCATGCCGTATCCACAACCCAAGCCAGGTGTTTCTGGACTCCTGGGACTGCAGCTGGCCAGCTGTGCAATAGTACAAGTGCTCTCCCCCTCTAGGTGGACCTCCACCTGTGCAGATGCATAACTGGGGCTACATCACTTTCACACTGTAGATATTTTTACTCATATAAATGTTCTTTGTAATGCTGTATTTTGTGGCATTAAGTTCCACTGGTTATTTACAAATGTAAAGTTTTGTTTGAAAGCATTGCTTTTAATTTCTAGTGTCCTTGTCTTGTTTTCAGGAAAAAAAGATTTTTGTGGGTCTATTCATGACCACCCTCAACCTCAAATGGTCCCTCCAGTCTGCCTGGTTGACTCTCCCCAAACTATTTCAGACCTTTCCCCCCTGCAATGTACCTTACATGAAAATAAAACACTAATGCAAGCCATCTTTTACCCTACCCCTTACACCTCTTCCCCAGGTGGTTCTTTTATGCCCATGACTATTTCTGTAGCTTAAACAGGCCAGTGTCCTTCCAAGAGACCAAACTAGTTTAAAATGTTGCTTCCCAGCTAGATTTAGGGCCTTCATTACTGTGCTTGTCCACACACCTGGTAATCATAGGGACACCCCCTGATTACCAAATCCCGTCACCTTTGCTCTCTGTAGCTGAATTATCTTTACTATTTTTGCCACATTGACCCCAGGTGGTCATCTCTTATCTAGACTACTGTAGTAGCCTCCAATTGGCCCACCTGTATCCTTGCAAATGTAGGTTCTGGCATCTTACCTATTCAACCTCAATTTGTAACATCCCGAGCTCTCATGATGGCCATCTAACATGCCTCATTATGCACTTTGTCTAAATCAGGGAACTAAAGAGGGAAAGGAACAAATTGAACTATGGTCATACTTTTTCTAGCTCAAGGCCTCTGCACATGCCTTGCAAAACTGTCACCTACCCTTAGTCCCAACTCCTTTCTCAGGCAGGTTTCCCTGACTTGGTCCAATTCTACTTTACATGGGATTTGTCTCACAAAGTTCTACATTTCTGATGACATTCATTTGCTTGGAATCTTCTAGGGAGGGACTATTTTGCTCATCGTATTCCCAGCTCCTAGTACAGTGCTTTCAATAATTTTTCTGAATTTATGAACACATTTGTATTTTCCTGCAAAGTGAAGGCAGAAGATATGCCAACTTGAAGTTTACAATCTAGTAAGAGAAAAATTTAATGCAGTGACAACATAAAAGCACACCCATGCCCTACAAACCAACCAGTCTAGTTTTGTTCATGAGACACTGGAAGAAAGCACATTTTCCTCAGGCCCAACATAAGCCTTCCCTATATAGCACCGAATATTAAGCTTAATGCAAGTTTTGAAGTTGCTGGGGGAGGAGAGAAACCCTCTGACTTTTCTGTAAAAGAATGCTATTTTAAGCGTATTTAAATATTTATTCACAGACCCATTGTGTTAAATGTTTATTTATGAACTGTCCAGAGACAGTTTTGGTCTTCTTCAGACTCTTGAAAATTTTAAATGATCCAGGCAACTCCTGTGAAGATCAAGTTTTCAAATTCTTCACCAAGGGCATCCTAAAAGAAAAAAAAGTGCTAAATTTTACAAGCAAATATTTACACGCATCAGACCTTAATTAATATTCTCAATGCCTGGTTCTGCACTGAGTTTCTGGAGTCAGATTTAAATGTCAACATAAAACACACCTGACATTTGACGTGTTTTTTTAATTATACTACTACTGCCCAGCCGGTGTGGCTCAGCATCAACCTATGAACCAGGTCGTCATGGTTCGATTCCCCATCAGGGGACATGCCTGGCTTGCAGGCTTGATCCCCAGTGTGGGGTGTGCAGGAGGCAGCCAGTCAATGATTTTCTCTCATCACTGATGTTTCTCTCTCTCTGAAATCAATAAAAATATATAAATTCTACTACTACTACACAAAAACAAAAACATCTTAAGATTTCAAAAATAAGCTGGAAACAGGCTATCCCATTTACCATTAACTTCACCTTAATTACAGATGTGCAGTACTAATACTAATAAGCCATTAATACTCAATTTAAACTAATACCCACAAGACACCCCAGTATGGAAAGGTGGTAAGATTCCCATTACAAAGAACTTTTATTTTTAAAATATTTTAACCTTTTTATTAGAAGTATTTATATTGCCTGAAAAGTATTCCACTGGTGAGTTATTTTAATAGGTGACTATTATAACAAGCAAATCTTGAAAAACTTAAGAAAAGCCAAATAATTATCATATACAAGCAAAGCATCTTAATAAACAAATATAACTTCTACATCACCTTACCTTAGGTCACTTGTGCTCCCAGGTAGTATTCAGGTAGCAGATTATGCTTCATGCATCCATCTTTCCCCTAAAAAATTAGTAAAAACAAAAACAAAAAAACTGGTTATGAGAAACTCTACACTTAATGCTGGCAGACTCAGATCACATGTGCAAACAAATTAATGTACAAGTATGAACTGTTACTTACACAGCTCCTCCACCAAAGACATCAAACTCAAGGGCAGGAAAGGGCTGCAAAGTGTGTAGTTTACGCCTTTTTTGACACCACATTCACTAGTTTCCAAAAGTGAACGGGCAACACAAAGGCTACATGCAAGTTGCTGCAGAGGCTGCTGCCCCTAAATCACCCCGCGGGGAGAACTGCTCATTCGAGACGGAACGAGAAAGAACTAATCCCAGCTCTAGACTCTCTCTCACAACTCACAATGCGACAGGGAACTGAAAACTGAAATACAAAGTGTTTTAAGAGTTCCAAACTCTCAGAACTTCAACGCAACTGGCCTTTTTTTTTTACAGGAACACGAAAACTCACCTGCCCAGTCGGCGATACTCGTTCGACTTCCGCCGGTTCTGCAGGTGAACCCGGCGTCAGGCCCTAAACCTTAACTGGCTCTTCTACGCTGACTGATTCCCCGCGTGACATGGGTGGGCTTAGGTGAGGCCGTTCCCTTTCACAGAAACTCCGCGCTTATATTAAAAACTCCCGGCACCCAGTCCATGACCAATACACTCAAATGCACCCCAACCCATCTCCCCATTTCCCGGCGGGGGACGCAGACCGAGGTCCGCTTCGGGGCCTCCTGGGGTGCAACGTGGCTGAAGTCAGGCCCAGGCGCTGCCGTCCAGGTATTCGGGCCCGGACCCGACCGGGCCGCGGCAGGCGCGACAGCAGGCTCAGGGGCCCGGCCGGACCCCGCCCCGGCCCACAGAGGCCACGCGGCCGCACACACCGAGCCCCCGCCATGCCGGACCCGCAGGCGCAGCCTAGCACCACCCCGAGCGCAGAGCCCAGAAAGGCCGCGCCGCCTTCCCACAATGCTTTTCTACCGCTGGGAGGATCCACTGTCCCCAGGGCGCGGGGGGGGGGAGGGCGGGCTGTACCATCAGCCACCGCGCGCTCGCGAGACGCCGCCGTGTGGCTGGAGGGAGAAGTGCGCAGTGATTGGCAGTGGGGCGGGGCTCCAAGGCGGAAGGGGCTCTTCTGCGCGCGCAGTTCTTTCCGCGGAGAAGGAGGTGTTCAGTGTGGCTGCACCTCTCCTCCCAGTGTGGGGCGCGCATGGTCAGCGCTGAGCTGCGCGCGTAGCCCAAAGGCCTTGAGACCTCGTGTTCTGGGGAGGACAGACAGAGCTCACCATCTCCAGCTGAGGAAGAGTAAGGTCATTCATAAAAAGTACATATTTACTAAGTATTACTGTGCTCAGGCCATGTCCTAAATGCCTGGGCCAGGTGCGAAGGAGACAGGCACGGTCCGTGTCTTACATGCTAGTCGGGCGAGAAAGACACTGGACAGGTGGACACTGCCTGTCCAGATAGTGTGAGCCCCGAGAAGGGCGCAATGGACGGCAAGGTGACAGCAGTGCTGTCCTGCAGAAGTAGAGCACGAACCACGAATGTAATTTTAAATTGTCGGAATGTTACATACAAAAGTGAAAAACATTAATTTTAATAGTTACTCAACACGGGCTAAGTATTATGTCAACATGTAGTTAATATAAAGTTCGTGATATATTTTTCATTCATTTATTCCTACCAAGTCTTAGAAGGCCGGTGTATATATTTCTGGCACATCTCATTTCGACTGGTCACATTTTAAGGGCTCCAGCCTTGGCCAGTGTGGCTGGAGCACCCAGAGGAGTACAAGTGGCCCGAGATGCAGCAGAAGATACAGGCAGAAGCAAATTGTATCTGTGGCACAGAGTTGGGATTTTATGCTGAAATTTTAGAATTGATCAATTATTACCACAAAAACAAAGCGAAGGTCATTTACTGGCTTTTTGCTGATAACCATAACTCATGGAAGGGATAGAGACTACAGTGGGACAGGCTGCATGGTGACACCTGGGTGTCCTTGCTCCTGTAAGACCCAGCAGAGACTCATCCAGAGATCACATTCCAGCACCTGTCTTTGTTTCTTTGAAGCTTATTGCTGGAAAAAAAAATAAAGGAAAGAAAGAAAATCAATCCTATAGTCTAATGGTCAGCACCCAAGGGCTAGCCTGAAACAACATCAACGTGAGGACAGTGGTGAGCATGAGCACACAGAAGAAGTAAATGTGTAATGATCACAAGAAGGTAAATAACTCTAAGACCTTCGTTAGGAAGTCACTTTAACATATGGGGGAGAAAGAGGTGGGGGAAGGAGGATAGCACCTCCAAGAGTGTCATTTAAAGATTTTTAAGGGTACAGTGTGGGGATTATAACAAACCTAATGTTGCCTTCTTGCTTGAGAAGACAAGGAGAGGACATTTCCTTGAGCTGGAGCGATCAGCTGACCTAGGGTTAGATCCATCTCTAATACTTGTTCCCTTCGGTAAATGAGCACCTCTCTGAGCTCATGGTTCCTCATTTGCAGGCTAACAACTATACAGTGGGGCCTTGACTTACGAGTGTCCCGACTAATGAGTTTTTTGAGATACCAGCTGTCTCTCAGCCGATTTTTTGCATTGAGTTGATAGAATAATTTGAGTTAACGAGCTCCTTAACGAATTAAACTCGTAAGTCAAGGCCCACTGTACTCATGTACCACATAGGTTAGTTTAAAGAGTTAAGAAAGGTTTGTGGAATCATCTAGCACTGTGTAGTACATAGTGACATCCAATCAATGACTCTCATGAGTTAGATTCTTCCTCTTGTTTACCACCACCCAGGTATGGAAACTTCTTGAATTAAGTTCTTAAGGAAGGAGTGAATATGCTGTTGGGTTTATTTATTTATTTATTTATTTATGGCTTGACATCTTTGCTCCCACCTTATTCTTTTCTATTCTCCCCTTTATATAACCTCCCTAACTCTGGGTGATTCAAGAACAGGGGGAAGCATGTGTTCCAATGATTGGATTAGGGCTGGTGTCAGGAAACCAGTTCTAAATTCTTTATCTTCCTGTCTGCTTC